ATGGTCTTTTCCTTCACTGTTCTGAGCCTCGGCCTTTCCAGTCTTTTCAGACTGATGTAATTGCTCAGAAAATTGCTCAGCCATAATAACCTCAAGTAAAATTACACTGCTTGCTTTCTTTTAGCTATAGACATTTCCCTCTGTGTCCTACCTATTCTCATTAGATGTAGTTATTATACAACTCACCAGTGTCCTATTAACAATATCATGATCCAACCACCTCCATCCTATTAACTCCATCTATTATACCATCTACATTGATCTTCTTAATTGAATCTGTTGTGCTGTATATCCTACTTATGTGCATTATCTGTCAAGTAATATGCCCTATTAACTATATTACCCAATCTTTTGCAACTGTCGTCTGGCTTGCTGGATTCCTGTTTGTGATATGTCCAGTGCTGCTTAGGTGTCATCTGCTAAAACTGTTCAGCTGTTTCGATCTTAACAGGTAAAGGTATCAAAAGCCCACTGGGACATATCACTGAGTCTGGGAGCTTAGCCATGAATATGCTGAGTGTGCAGGGGGCTTGGCCTTAAAGTACTGTCTTAAGAAGGATCTTTTCCTTTGACTAATGTCATACTTCCCACCAGGCTTTATGAGCTACGTTAATGGGACGTGTGCGCGTGTGTGGGTCTGTATGTCTGTGTGCACACGCGCAGGGTTGGGGATGTGGGGGTATGGGAGTTGAGCGGACGCTGTGGATCGGAAATCCTGGTGAGAAAGGAGACCCTGGAAGGAGAACACAGAGTGGGGAAGGGCCAGGGGTAGTGAGGGCTGCAGGGTGAGGTCTGTGTTCATTTGGCAGGAAAGAACCCTTGTTGACACCATCTTTTTTGTTAACGGATGACAAGCCTGGATGACTGCATCATAGCAAACCTCGAATGTTGCCAGGATGCCAGCCCATCCCAGTGTCTTATTCTGTGATCATCTGAGCCCTGATAAAGAGGAGGCTCTTGGGGCGCCTGGGTGGCGCAGTCGGTTAAGCGTCCGACTTCAGCCAGGTCACGATCTCGCGATCCGTGAGTTCGAGCCCCGCGTCGGGCTCTGGGCTGATGGCTCAGAGCCTGGAGCCTGTTTCCGATTCTGTGTCTCCCTCTCTCTCTGCTCCTCCCCCGTTCATGCTCTGTCTCTCTCTGTCCCAAAAATAAATAAAACGTTGAAAAAAAAAATTTAAAAAAAAAAGAGGAGGCTCTTCCCTAAGCAATCCCCCACACTTGGATCACATCAGTGCTTCGTTAGCAGCTGCCACAGTCAAAGACCCTGTGCCTACAGGCACCCCACAGAGGGTGATGTTGATGTCTGATGTCTAGGAGAGGACCGGAAACACAGAAAATGCCCATGAAACGCTGGTTGAAGGCTGTGGAAGGGTGACTTGTGGAATCTGTCTTTTCCTTACCATCACATATCTTGCTCCTGAGGTCAGGAAAAGGTAAGGGGTCTTTGGCTGCCATCCAGTATACACTGGGGTTACTATCTGTAGGAACACTCATGAAAAAAGGCCAGAAAGCTATGTATTCGTAACTGCTTCATACACTGTACATGTAGACTTCTCAGGTGGTTCTGTAGTAATTCTTTGCATTTTTGAAACGCTTTTTATTTATCTTTTAAATGTTTATTTTGAGAGAGAGGGAGAGAGCACGCACAAGCGTGTGCATGTGTGATCGGGGGAGAAACAGAGAGAGAGAGCGAGAGAGGATCCCAAGCGGGCTCCACGTTGTCAGCGTAGGTCTTGATGTGGGGCTTGATCCCACAAACCTTGAAATCATGACCTGAGCTGAAATCAAGAGTCTGATGCTTAACTAGCTGACCCACCCAAGTGCCCCTTGAAACACTTTGTAAAAGCACTGTCAAATCTGTGATCTTATTTTATTTCATGTGCTTCTGTTTATCTTTGATTTCCCATTGTGTAGATGGAGAAACGGAAGCCCTCCTAGGGTCTCATAGGAGAGTCAGGATTACAAGTCTCCTAACTGCTGTCTGCCTGCCTCTGCAAATGACATACAGTTAATGGTAGAGGGAATTTTCACGGCCCAGCTGTGGTCCAAACTGAACACGTGTGCGCCTCACTTCTGGGCAGCGTTAGGGCTGTTCTTCCTTCCAGTTCTATGTGCTGGCCAGAAGCTTTCACGGGGATGTGAAAGCTTTGTAGCCATGGGGCTGGACACAGCTGTCCAATGTCTCAGGCCCAGCTTTGTGTAAGTAAAACATCCCCATTCTCCCACCTCCATAGCCAGCCTCCGGGTTCTGTGTTTACCAAACACCTGCCAATGTGTCACCCTAAACACAGCTGAAGTCTGGGACTGCTTTCTGTGCCCAAAGCCCCCTCCCTGATTGCTGCTCCCTGAGCCCACTGAGGAGCAGATGTTGACAGGACTCCTGGCATCTGTGTCTGGGCCACAGAGGTAAGAGATCAGAGGGCCTCCAGGCAGGATGGGTCCACTTTGAAGTTTGAAAACGTACTTGGCCCTACTGGGCTGAATAGTGCCCCCCAAATTCATGTCCATCTGGAACTTCAGAATGTGACTTCATTTCGGAAATAGGGGTTTTGCTGATGTAACTAGTTGAGTGTCTTGAGAAGAAGTCATCCTGGATTTAGAGTGGGCCCTAAATCCAATGACCGGCTTCCTTATAAGAACAGAGGACACAGAGGTACATAGGAAAGAAGGACACGTGAAGACAGAGACAGAGGTTGAAGGTATGTTGCCATAAGCCAAGGAATGTCTGGCGTCATCGAAAGCTGGAAGAGGTAAGGGAGCAGTTTCCCTTAGAACCTTTAGAGAGAGATGGCCTGCAACACCTTGGTTTCAGACTTTTAGCATCTAGAAGTATGACAGAATGAATTTCTGTTGTTTGAAGCCACTAAGTTTGTGGTCGTTTGTTCCAGCAGCCACAGGAAACAAATACACTGGCTGAGTAGCAGACAGTAGGTAGGACTGTAGGGCTGGTCCTAGAGACAGGCTTTTGTGAGTCCTCTGCTCCCCTCGCTTGTCTTACCTTGAGGGCCTAGGAGAATTCTGGTGCCAAGCTAGTCTAAGGAGGCAAGTTTGAAATGAGTTCAGAGGAAGACCGGAGCTGGGCTTCTCTGTTGTCACTTGAATTTTGGTAGAGAAAGACTTCTGCGCCCTCTTTCCAGCATTATTGCCACCTTTCCTTAGTGCCCACCGTAGGCCAGGCACCATGCGGGCCTTTACATCATTTCACACATTCCTTCCTTATGTCTTAAGTCAACTCAGGGCATTATAACAAAATACCATGGACTGGGTGGCTTAAACAAGAGACTTTATTTCTTATAGTTCCAGAGACTGGAGAAGTCCAAGATCAAGGTGCCAGCTGATTTGGTTCCTGGAGAAGACCATCTTCTTGACTTCTATATAGTCACCTTCTAACTGTGCCATTATATGGCAGAGAGAGAGAGAAGCCAAGCTCTTGGTGTCTCTTTTTTTTTTTTAATTTTTTTTTAACGTTTATTTATTTTTGAGACAGAGAGAGACAGAGCATGAACGGGGGAGGGGCAGAGAGAGAGGGAGACACAGAATCTGAAACAGGCCCCGGGCTCTGAGCTGTCAGCACAGAGCCCGACACGGGGCTCGAACTCAGACTGTGAGATCATGACCCGAGCTGAAGTCGGATGCTCAATCGACTGAGTCACCCAGGTGCCCCGACTTGGTGTCTCTTCTTATAAGGGCACTAATCCCATCCTGGCCCCACCCTCATGATTTGACCTCAACCCATTTACCTCTCAAAAGCCCCAACTCCAAATACACGCTGGGAGTTAGGGCTTCAACATATGAATTGGCAGGGGGATGCAACCAAGTTCATGACATCTTATAAAGACTCTTAATAAAGTTGCTCTATCCTTTTAGCTTTACATTTGAGACTCATTAAGTTGCTCAAGGTCACACAGATGGCAAGTAACAGAGCCAAGATTTGATGTTTAATTTTACTTCAGAGTTTGCACATTTAACCACTATGCTATATTAATTGAACTTTCATTAATACTAATAAGCAGCTGACTGTTGACATGGTAGGAAGAGAGCCTGTAGAGTAGCAAGACCATCTGGGGCTCCCCCCTGCAGCCTCCCTACTTCTGTCCTTACCCTGCCTGCCCCTCCCCGAGCAGGAGCCACAAACCCATGATCCATGTTCCTGGGGTGACCTGTGATACACTTCTGGCAGTCTCTCTGGCAGCTTATCTGTGTCCCTTTCCATCTAACACCCTCTTGCTCACCCCACACAGCCCAGTTGAAATGTGCTCTGTATACATCATTATCTAGCACACAGTACATGGCTCATAAATCCCAGTAGTGTGTGTGTCTCTTTCCTGAGCTGGAGTGGGATCACCTATTTTGGCATCTGGTACCTTCCATAGCACCTCTGGATCTCCAGAGCACCCAAGAAATGTTTGAGTAAGTGAAACATGTAGAAGGCATGGAGATAATTAAGTGACAAGTACTCAGCAGAAAGGGCTCTTAATTGAGGAGGAGGAGGGAAAGGAGGAGAAGAAGAGGAAAGAAAAGAACATCAGATATTCTAAGACAAGTACTTATAGAAGGAACCACTAAAAGCTTTGAGTTTTGAAAGCAAATGTTTAATTTAGGCTCTCCCTTCTGTGTGCTTACAGATGGCACTCAATTCAATATGACGGCCAATCTATATTTTGAGATTTACTGTGGGTCTTGTGGACTTTTCTTCTTTTTTGATTATTAAATGCTTTAGTTTTCTAAATAGGTATTCTTTAAAAGCTTGTCCTATTTCTAAATATAATTCCCATTTGAGATAGTGCACTCTTCATTTTATGCTGACCCCAGTGGGAATGTAGGGTTCGGTTGTTGGCGTTCCAGTTAGAGCACACTTTCTGGGAGGTGTGTGTCTAAATGTGTCAACCGAGGCCCGTGTTTCTTGAGTTGCCTTCCCCAAAGGGGGAGAGTTTGCACCTGTGGGAGGACCCACCCCAGGCATTTCTCACTGCTCTTCCATCTCTGCCCTCCCCCTGCAGGCTGGCCGTACGTGACACTCTCTGTCCTGGGATTCCTGTACTGCTACTCCCATGTGGGCATTGCCTGGTCCCAGACATACTTGGTGGACTAAAGCTGCCTGGCCCACGCCAGTCCTTACCGCTGGCCTCCGAGCAAATGGTGCTTCACCCTGACCTCGCACACCAAGATAACCTCCGAGGGACCAGTGCTTGATCTGTTCATCTTTTGTTGAAGTTACCTCACTCCAAGACCGGAAGCTGGAGCTCTCATAGAAAATTGACAACCAGAGAGGCTTCTAACTTGGGGGATCCGGAGCTCATCTCCCCCATCATTTTCCTGCTGAGTAAGCAGGGGTCCAGAGCAGGAGAATCTTGCTCAGCTGCACATGGTGACGTTGCAGTCTAGAACCCAGGCCCAGTGGCCCTTTGGGTTCTTTCTACTTTACTAAGAATTACATGCAATAGATGTTTCTCGATTAGAGCACAGAAATCCTGATAGTGATAAGGCCTGTTCTCCATTGAGCATCCTTCTGAAACATTTTGGTAACATGTAAATGACCTCTTCCCCATGTCCTGCAGTATGGTCGCTAGAACCAGCACTGGGGTCTGAGTTTCACACTTCAGCTCCCCAGCATGGCGGGGACAATGTCATGTTTCTAGTTACCCAGTCAAAGAACATACAACATGTCCTGTGGTTTCCAAGGGGTCAGTACAGAAGACCAGTTATTTAAACACTACCCAGGTGATTGACATTTGGATGCTTTGTGCCCTAGATTTACTGAGAAGTATAAACATGGCAGTTCCTCTAGCAGACAGTTAATCTTCATTTCCCAATATAGAAGCAGAATTAAGAAACCAGGAGATAGTGTGTCCACAGACAGGTGCTATCTGGTAAGTGACAAAGGGTAAGCATGGTATCCTGTGGTCTTTTCTCCTCTCCATGCAAGTAAGCTCCAGCAGTCATCTTCCTACTCAGTGGTTTACACTCAGTAGTTCACATTGTTTTGTTTTGTTTCAAATAAAATGGAGCCTTTCCTATCACATTGATAATTTACATAGTTGTAGAATCATTTTGAATTATTTTTTGAGGAAAATGCTTAAAATCGAAACACGTCTCAATTATTCATTCTTTTGGAAAGTGATGACAGGCCACTGACCCAAGTGGTAGATAATTCTGAATATGTCTGTTTGACTTTGGAGGTTTTGGTTCTTTGTTTTCTTTTGAGAGGGCAGGTGCTAAGTGGTAAAGAAGCTTTGAGGTTTCAAGACATAGTGTACCTCGTCATGGGCAAACTTAGTATATATCTCAAACACCTGAATTAAATTGTCACTGAATGAAAGGTTCCCTTGGACCTGGTCTGGCCACATATCTCGTATTTGTTATCTACTGTGGCTATGGTTTGAACTCAACGAGATACTCCTAGACTGCAGGACCGGCCATCTTGCTGACATCCGTTCTTCCTAGCCCTTCTGCCTGGAAGAGCAGTTGTAGGGTGGATGGTGTGGAGCGGGCACACCCGGTGTTGGCTCTTTCAAGGAACAGACCCAGAGGGGCAGGTGGGCTGGTAGCAGTGGCCTCAGCAACCGACTTGGTAAGTGAGAAGGAGGCCCAGGCAGGTGGTTCCAAGCTGCTGGGAAGAATGAGCACTCAAATGATTACAGTATATCAGGGACCAATACTAGTTCAGGAACTGTGGTCAGCTGCAGGGAGTTTGGCTGAAGTTCACATGGAAGGAAAGGGCTGGCTAAGGAAACACAGGAATGTGAAGATGATTGTAGGCAAGTGTCTTAATGTACGTACGTGTATAAACAATACAAAGAATTTTGAACGCTTCAGAGACACCACTGGTGTAAAAACAGGCTTATTCATTCACTCAACTGTATTAGAAGAATCAGTGAATATATTTGAAAGTAATAAGCCTGAATTTCTTTTAAACTATCACATGATTTAGAGTGGTTCTCAAGAATTAGTAAATTATTTGAGGCCCAGTTAACCAACATGTGGATTTTCTAGGACCATTGTTTTCTTACTTTAACCTCTTGCTGTTCTCCAACTATAATATGAAAACAATAATAAGTCTCTCTTCATGCATGTGAAGTAAAATCTTGGAGTTACTTTAAATGAGACTCTTGAAGTATCTCTGAGAAGACAGAGCAGTTCCAGCTGAGGAGCGTGTGACATGTCACTTTCCACAGTCATCAGCCCTGGGCAACTTCAGGCATGGGGCTGGAAAGCAACTAGACGATGTCCCAAGGTAACTTCTAGCCCCAGGATCCTCTGACCTCAACCTAGCCCTGGGCAAGCCAGAGCGCTCCAAGCAGGATTGCCAAGATGATCCCCAAGGAGGCAAGCAAGACATCTGAAGGACAGCCAACTCGTGGCCATTTTGACTAATTCGGGACTGTACAGGAAGACTTAAAGGTATTTTATTATTCCTTCAGATTAATTTGTTTGAAGTGACAGGAGAAAACCTTTTGTTCTATTAAAGACTGCAGGCATAGAAAGAAAATACATCATCTATACAATTATACAATGATGTCTGTATTGGGAGGATAGTAATTTAGCAGGACCAGTGTTCCCCTTAAAAAAACTGAGACTGCTCACTTGCTTATTTAAAATAATAACATAATTGTAGACCAGTATAAGAAATTAATCGTAATGAGTTTGCTTTCTAACAAATGTACCAGAACATATACATCCAGTAGGACCAACTGTTGAGAAACCAGATCATCTTGATGGTGCTGGCCTTTCTCAGTGGGCATTGAGAAATCCAAGGCCCTTTTTCAGGGAAGTTATTTTGTTTTTTGTCTTGTTTTATTTTATGTTTATTATTTTGGGAGAGGGAGAGGAGGGAGAGGAGGGAGAGGAGGGAGAGGGAGAGGGAATCCCAAGCAGGCTCTGCACTGCCAGTGTGGAGCCTGGTGCAGGGCTCAAACTCACAAACCGTGAGATCATGACCTGAGCCATTTTATTTTAAAATAAATCAACAGGGGTGCCTGGGTGGCTCAGTCGTTTAAGCATCTGACTTCAGCTCAGGTCATGATCTCAGTTAGAGAGAGAGTGTTGCATCGCGCTCTGGGCTGACAGTGTGGAGCTTGCTTGGGATTTTCTCTCTCGTCTCTCTGCCCCTCCCCTGCTTGTGCTCTCTAAAAAATAAGTGAATAAACTTAAAACCAACAAAATCCCCCCTTTTTAATAGTTGAAACCCCTTTGGCACCCAGAATGTAGTATCTATTTCTTAGCTCTGTATTACTAGTCCTTTTGACTAATTATAAAAATCATATTCACAAAGAGATTTTTTTCACAATTGAAGATATATCAAGAACATACTGCTCAGTGCTTTATTACATGAGATTCCTTTTTTTAGGTGAGATTTTTGAATGAATATCAAATCACTTGGAATTTTAAATACTATCACCTTTAATGTTTATTATGCTTTTCTGCAACATAATGAAATAATAGGTTGTAGGGAGGATGCCATTAAAAATGCCGTATTCATCCTGTGGCCTTATGAGAGCAAGCAGAGGCCCAAATATGGTGTGCAGACCACAGATTCCTCATCCTGAGTTAAATTCTGTCTACAAAAAGAAAAGTGCCCTTTTTGAAATGTGGTCCAGTAGTATTAAATAAGAACTCAGGTTGACAGTATTATGGAGAATCTTGCCATGAGCAGGAAGTCATACCTATTAAAACCAGAGCAGAAGTGAGGGCTGCTAGAGAAGACTCGTTGGTTTAGGGGCAAGCAGCCCTCGACCTTACTAGCTTCTGAGACCATCAATGAATTAAAGCACAGCCCATCACCCCCACTGTTGCTACGGAATCATTCCAAAAAGATTCGGTTACCTTTTTTACGCTGTATTTGAAAAGGCAGGGAAGCCTTCATAAATCTTAAATTTCAATCCAAATTGTTTAAAAGTTCACCTCTCCTCGGGAGACCACCTTCAGATAAGTGTTAAGTCAATGTGTTGTACCACAGCTTTCCAAGATGCCAGGTTTTGAAGGCATCTCTGTACATCTGTGTGGCAGACACAGCTCTATGTCTAGATCATATGGCAAAGCACCTTCACGACCATCCTCTCGCTATGCTGTACTTAGACATACAGTCTTGGTGTCTCTAGAATTCTGAGTTCTCCAAAACCACACTTACAGGTGCTATCCAGATTAGAGCCTCTCAGACTCTTGAATAGAAAGTACCATCCTTGTTCTGGCACCTTAGATCAGAACACCCAATTCAGTGCCTTAAAATTATAGAAGAAAAGGCAAAGGCAAGTATCATGTATAAAATAGTTTATTACCATAATAAATAAAATTAAACTTTTTTTTTTTTTTACAAATATCATTTGTGCTTGTTTAAAAATGTTGAGAAGGGAATATTATCAATGGAGGGGCCCACATGTTCCTTTTAACATTCCCAAGCGGCACACATACAGTGGAGTTTCTGGCAGCATCCTCAACTGACCATAAAAATAGTATCAGCTCATTTGTACTTCTGTCTGTTCATGCTCATTCGGACAAAGTGGCAGATGCAAAGGAAAAAGAGAAACCCAGTGAAGGATTTGGCGGAACTCAGTAAAAAGAGCGTCAATATAAGGAGAAGCCCCAGGCTGACAAACTTGCTCAGGAGTAGAAGTGTCCTTACAGCATTGGTGAAACGTCAGATGTGGGCAGTCTCCAACCGATGCACAAGTACAATGTCTGAATTTTAAGAGAATACATTCATTGGGGCAGGGTGCATCTTAAGATCTTTCTCATTGTTCATATCCTGATACAAGATCTGTGAACTTCTCATTAAATAGCTCCTCAATCCGTTGACCGGCTCTGAAGTCCCAGATAAAGAGACAATGGCTCTAAGAAAAGTTTAATGGTGGGGCTGAGAGGGCACCCATGGGGCCTGGCACCTGCAGGGCGTTCAAGTCCAGTTCTAGAGGTTCCAGAGTAAGTCTGACTTGCTCACATGAGAATGAAGTTTCACTTGAAACTAATTTAAGCTGCACATTCACATTGATTCTTTTGAACTGTGTATCAGAGGGAGTGGAAGTCAACACTTCTCAACATGAATACCTTGGGTGAGAAAATGGTGCTTTCTTTCATGGCTGCGGTTGGTGCTAAGGGGACAGAGAAATCCCCCAGCTGGAGGGCACAAGAGCTGGTGAAGGTATTTGTATCGAAGCGAGCAAGAAGGCAGTACAACGATTTAGTGACAGAAGAGAGGCTACCCCTGGGTCTGAGTGTGCCCTCAGTGGGTTCCTCTTAAAGCAACACGATGTGAGGAGGGAGGAGAAGGAGGGTGTCGGCAGCTCCGTCACAGCTGGAGTTCCATTCAAGGGTCTTAAGGCTAAACATCTTTATTGCAAAACATTGTACAATCTACTCATCAAACGCACAGCAATTTGTATCTCCACCAGGACTCCTACAATTTTCCAGAGAGTGCATGTGCCATTTGGTGGTCAATGCAACAAGGGGAGATGAGGCTCTCCCTACACTGGGTGCTCCTAAGGCATTCTTTTAGTCCCTACAGAGGCTTCAACAAAAATTCTGACACTTGGCCTATTTCACCTTCCACCGAAGGATTTGGAGGGGAAGTTGCTGGATGGGGTGTGGTGGTGGAGTGCATTTTTACTCTAAGCCATGCTAGCTCTGCTTCTGAAAGAAGATTCCAGAAAAGGGCCTGATGTTTGGCCAGCAACACCACACAGGATCTAGAGGGTGGAGGGTAAAACAGGCCCAGGGATTGGATAACAAGAAACGGAAACAGCTTTGGAACCCTTGGGCCCATGCTGTCATAGCATCTGTTTTTTTTTGTTTTTGTTTTTTTGTAAGCCACTGGTTGCCTACTATACTGGCTACAAACTTTCTGCACACAGATGGACTCTGAGGTTGAGAATATAAGGAATCGTCTTAGAACCAAGCCAGGAGGTCTAAGCATGAGTGAATGGGATGGATGGAGGTGCAGATGTCAAAACTGTGTACTAGACCAGACCTTCTCAACCAGAGGGCTGCCTCCCTCTCCTTTCTAGGGGATTCCTGGCATAGTCACTGGAGGAGCCTTTGCAGGTGCACCGGACAGCAGCACTCAGTGCCAGGGTCCCATCCTCCACAGAGAACAGGCACTCCATCTCGTTGGCCGTCATATTTCATAGACCCAGCCCTCGCTCCCACTCCCCCATTGGTGGGGGAGAACAAGTTCAACAAGCAGCCAAGTGCTGGGGCAAGACCTCTTGCTCCAAAGCAGCCCATCAGGACACTCTCTGGGAAGTGGAGCCACCCTACGAATAACATCCGAGGTAAGGAGTTTAAGTACGAGATCAAGTAACTGGCAAGTACTGGGCAATGGTGTAATACATCATGTCCCCTTCCCTCAAGAAGGAAAAAAACAAAAAACAGGTAAATATCTCAACATAACTTCTAAAGTCTAAATGTTAAGTCCAACACCTAGTAATTCTGTGTTTCCCTAACCTCTGTTCAGCCACCAGACAGTGGAAGATTCAGTCAGTATCTGAAGCTTGTGGTCCTTGCTCAGGAAGCCAGAGCAGCGTCCAGGCAAGAGTAGGTAGTTGGCACGAAGTGGTCCATGGCCAAGTGCGTGTCATAAACGTGGAAGGAGAGAAGGTTTGGCTCATTTTAGAAACTAATTTTTTCAGAGGAAACAAAGCAAAAGTCCCTAAGTGGAGTCTAGAAGACTAAAAGCGTGTACAGGCCACACTGTGGGGATTTGTCACCACAGGCACACATGTGGGCCCTGCGGCCCTGAGATGAGCACATTCCCACCGCAGATCCAGGCTTTTCTGGTCATTAGCCCGATTCTTGTCCTAGGAGTCAGTCCAGGAGTACATTCATGAAGCTTTGTTTTCCCCCCAAAACAGGTCTGGCTTCCAAGCCTGGCATATTAGCATCTTTGCCCCTCAGACCCAGATGGGGAGTCATTTCTTAATAAACACCTGTCCCCTCAGAGCTAGTGGGGAAGGAAACGGCCCCTCTCCAGTGGCCTGCAGGGTGCTGGACAGGAGCCTGTCACCAAGCCCACAGAGAGCTGGGCACATGCTTCTAAAGCTGGATGATAGAGTCATCCAGGGCCCTTGCCCTGACTTAAAAGTAGTGGGTACTAAACTTTAGAAGCAGGCTAATGAGCACATTTAAGGAACAGCAAACTAGAACATTCTGGGGGCAGATGGGATTCCAGATATTTTATAGCCTCTGGACTAGTTGGCAGCTTCTCAAAGAGACTGAAAGTCTCAGTGCTTTATCTAGAGTCACAAACAGTTAAGACTTGGCCTTGGGAAGTTACACTTCCTCCTATTTGTATGCTGCCGTCTGAGGCTAAATCTAATAATGCTGCAGCCTCAGGAAGCCAGCGGCCACCCGGTAAGCCTCCCAGGAGAAGCTGCATAAGTGTACGGGGACCCCTGGGGAAGGGCCCTTCCCTTGACCCCCTGGACTCTGTTCCCCAGGGCCATCTGCACCAATGCTGGCAGCCAGGAGAGGACAGCCCCATTTTGCCCAGGAACTGAGGGCCAAGTCCTGGGACCTGCCATGGCCACCAAACAGGACCAAAGGGGCGAGGGAAGGGATGGGCCCAGACAGGAGGCCTTCAGAAATTCTATCTTTGGTAGAGCAAGTGCCAGCCTGGCAGGTCCCCTTCGGTACTGAGGGGATTAACACCGGTTCTGGATTTGTATAGCTAAGCTACACCAAGCGCTAAGGGTGAGGGTGCTGCAGTGTGACACATGCAGAAAGCCAGCGCCCTGGCTGGGTCCCTGCTGTCACCAATAGTCCAGGTCCTAATTCTACTCTCTCCAAGCTAGTTCTTAGAGCTGAACTTCCAACCCTGCTTGTTAGGGCAGGGCATAACCCCTGAGCTAGTTCCACTCTGCCTGGGAGGGCCCTCTTTCCTTTCTCCGATGCCATTGAAAGGAGCACGTGAATAATCTGACCCCAGGTGACTAGGAGGCCGTGGAGTGTCCCCAAGCATCATGGCATAGGGACCTGGATGACCCACAGGTGGCTCTGTGACTGTCCCTCTGAGCTTGGACCTTCTCTGGGCCCACAGCTCCATGGCCGTCTCTGTCCATCACCTCACACAGCTTGAGAACCTGCCACCTCATTCTCCTCCTGCTCCTGAAGCAAGTACAACCGTGACCCTGACGTCTTCGCGGTTTTTCTTGAAATCCTACTGACTTTAGTAAAAGAAAGGTTAATTTTAAACTAAGGCCAGGCATGGCTCCCAAGTATCCTATAACGACCCCATGCAATGGACATAATGCAAACTGCTGAAGGGCCATCAATCCCGGTGAGAATCATAAACAGAGGACTTGCTACAATCATTTTTCTGAGGTTGTATGTGTGTGTCTGTGTGTCTGCTTTGCTAGTAAAGCAACTCTGGGCTCATCACCCTTCCTGCCGGTGCCCCACACCCTGAGAAATGCCACAGGAACGCTTGGGAAGAGGCCGAGAAGGAAAAGAAGCAAAGGGGCCCATGCAATGAGGCCAGTGGCATGGAGCAGGGCCAGAGGTTCATCTGAGGCCTCTCCTGTGACAGCAGGCCGCCGACTACAGCCCAGAGCTTCTCTGCCTCCTGAAGGGCCCCGTGCAGCTCTTACACTCGGGAAAGGAGAGCCGAGGAGGCGCCCAGAGCACCTCCCTGCTTTCCGGCCTTAAAGACAGAAAGTCACAAGGCCCTACCCTCCCTGGCCCTCAAACTCCCCTTGTCCCGAGCTTGTTACAAATGATGACTGTGGGCAAATATAAGGTGACAGCAGACATGGGCTGTACGAGGACAGGGAATGCTGGGAAATCCCTGTGCCCACCGCAGTCTTTGGGGTCTTGGTGAAGGAGCCCAGTCTGGTATATACATGAGGGGTTCTCCAATGCTTTCCCACCAATCCCCAAATAGCTGCTCTTCTTTTCTGGTGGGTTGTCATCTTTTACAAATATCGTGGCAGTAAAAAAATTAAAAATGAAGGAAAATACCCTCAGCATGCCCCCTCTTCCAAAATTGTGCAGTCAGCTGGAAAACAGCTGTCATCTAGCAGGGTGGTAACACACACCTCTTCCCGTATCTGTGCCCAGATAGAGAAAGAGCGCGCGTGCCTAAGCGACTGGTCCCACTTTGATTTTCTGTCAGGAAAGCCTACTTTGGAAGTTGTTGGTCATGTAGGTGTGTGTGGTGGGGATGGTGTCCAGGGAAGGGCGGTGGGTTTTGGTCTTTGACTCTTTTTTTAGACCACTCAGCTTGCTCCAAAAATGTCTCTCTCTGATTCTGGGGACTGGGGCCTCGATATTTCAAAGAGCTCCTGGGGAGACTGAGAGGATCTTCTGGAAGTTAATATCCTGAGTATCTCAGAGAGCTGTTTCTCAAGATTTGTCATTTTGGTGTTCAAGGCCTTGATGTCCTCCTTCAACTCGTGCTTCACCTCCAGGACCGTGGCCTGCAGCGTCTGCTCGGGGATGGGGTAGAAAGAATGCTTGACCTCCGCCAGGATGGGGCTCCGGTCCTGAGGGCTCCTGGCCTCGCCGACGTTGTCCAGACGCAGATCGCTCTTGGTGATGCCGCTGTCACAGGAGTCTGTCTTCTTGAGGGTGGCCTCTCCGGACGCCTTGGTCCTGTCGGGGAGCGTCTCCATGGACTCGGCCTTGGCCACCTGGCTCCAGTCCTCGCCCTTGCCGCAGGCATCCTTGAAGCGGGCCCAGCCTTTGCGCCTGGCGCAGTCGCCCCCCGCTGCCCTGGGGCCCAGGCACTCAGCGCCGGGCGCGTGCAGCCGGCCATGGTCCGACACCGCCGCCGCGGAGGCTGCCTGGAAGGCCACGGGCGTGGCGGGGCTCTCACGCACGGTGACCACACTGGCCTTCACCAGGCTGTGGTTGGCCGCGTGCTCGGGGACGGCACCACCCTTCTCCACATCCTGGTCGTCCGGGTCGCGGCCGCCCCTCTCCGCGGCCAGCCGGGCCTCCTTCTGCTGTCGGAACCTCTGGAAGAGTCTCCGGACAGGGTGGTCCGGGGGCAAGATCAGGGGGGCCTCATTCTTGCGTTTCATGCGCTCTTCCTCCTCCCGCTTCACGTCGCTGATCTTCCGGAACACGATCTGGAGTGAGACAGAAGGACAGCAAAGCTCAGCCCATCAGCCATTAGGCTGTCAGCGCCCTGCCAAGGGCTGCGGCTCCCAGAGGGCTCGCATCCCTCCAGCGCCATCCCGGGCTTTGCTCAGGGAACTGCCCACACCTGCCTTTTCCAGGACACTCATTCCCAGCTTGCCCACAGCAAGGAAGGGACTCCTGCTGTCATCCTCTCCAAGAGGAACAAACTTCAGCCTCTCCATCCCCACACGCCAGGAGGCTGGAGGTGCCAGATGGCCTCCTTCCGGGAGACTGTCCCAGTGCCTGAGTTGGGCCCCTGCCTGCAGTCCAGGGTCACCTGGTGAGCTTTACAGAAATCATTCTTCTGCCTCCCGTCTCAGACCTGCTGTATTAGAACCTCCCAACAGGAAGCCCTTGAATCTGTAACAAGCTTTCCAGGTGACTCTTCTGCATGGAAGTTTGAGCACTCCTGGTCTACACCACATTGCAGGGTAAGAAAGTTCAGACAAACCCCCAGTCAGGGCCACAGCTAAGACTGCCATTGCCACCTGCAGATCTGGTGAAATGAAATTCAGCTCGCCGTGAAAGCAAAAGCAAGTCTCACACAGAAGCCCTCCCCATCCTCAGGCTGCTCACGGGGGAAGATCCCATGGTTTTGCACACGAGCTTGTCCTAATACTAACAGCCATTTGGATGGTTCATAAGGCACTTTAACGTCACTTCATGTATTCCTTACAGCAGCACTGTAGAGTCACTGGGACACATTCCCATTTTAGAGAAGAGGAAAACCAAGGTTTCAGGGTAGCTAAATGTCACATAAAATAGAAGTTTGCTATAAGGGACTTGTACCCAAGTCATCAAACCCCAGACCCATTAAACGTCCAACAGGTACTTACTGATGATGACAGTGCTTCATGCAGAGGATGGACAGTCAGCAAACTGTCCATGAATCTGGTGCTGAGTAGAGCAAGAGCCATAAATTACAGGGCTTTCCCTGGTGCTGACCTCTGATTATAGGCAAGCTGTGTAATTTCTGGCTTACATTGAGTGTGGCAGATGCGCTCAGGCACACGTTTGACCCATCCCACTTCTCAACTTGTGGGAAGCCACCTGCAATAGGTTGTCTATTTTATATAAATCACCGGTCCGAGGACCAGTCCTGAGATCACTGAGAAGCAGAAGAGAGGCCTAGTGTAAGGGAGCAGCAGCTTTTCCATCACCATAACCTGGAAACCCCTGTGCCGGCAGCCTCGGACCAACCCAGAACCTGCCCCAAGGACCTGCCACAGGACTTGCAGGTCTTGGAGAGGCACACATGGTAGCATGCCAGGACCACAGGCTTTGAGGTCAGAAAGAAATCTCAGCCCTGCCACGTAGCTGTGTGACCCCAGGCAGGCATCTTACCTTCAGAGTCTATTTCCTCCTTGAAGAGTGGGGAAAATCCCCACTATTGTGACTTGGTGTAAAGCCAGCACAAGATTACTTATGTGAAAGCACAGGCCCACTGTAGATGCTTAACATGAACCCTCCTTCCCCCACCATCTCAAGGCCTCTGCCTTTTTAACCTCCAGGTGCAGATGGTTTATAACTCACCCTCTCCTCCAGGAAGCCCCCTGGCCAGAGCTCTCTGATGGCACCACTCATTAGGTTCTCAGGTCTGACCGACGAGATTGATTACAGCGCTCATAAATACAGAGGAGTCCAACACACTGAGTTGCTAGATGCAATCAACAAATCGTTGGCTCACACCTGTCACCCGATTTCTCCATCAAAGCTCCTGATGCCAGATGACTCTACACTTGGGTCACTAACAGGTGGGTGGGATGCGGTTGCTCCTCTTGCCACCTGGTTAAGTTTTTACATTCCTTGGGTCACAGTGCATGACTTTCTGACCTGTGCTGGGCAGTATTTCTCCCAGCCCTGCCCTGCCCAGTGGTGATTTAACAACCCCACCTCCCCTGGTTCCCTTCAGCCATATCCCATCTACTTCTATAGTCTAGCCTGCAGATCCAAGCTGTGGGACTCAGGAAAACAACCTGAAGAGAAATCCAACGAAAAGCATCACGGGGATGGAGGGATGATAAATAGAAGGAACAGGACCTTCCCTGCTCCTCCCGCTCTGAGGTACCAGACTTCCACCTCCCTCCCCGCTTCTGCCCCCTGTGCTCTGTTCTGGGAATGACCCCTGCTCTCCACTGGGCATCCAAATCCCCCTAACACCAAGACCCAGCTCAAATAGCACCTCTTCCAGAAAGGCTTCCCTGATTCCATGGAGGTCTAAGTTACCTCTGGCCTCCCAACACCAACCGCCTTTTCTGTGCTCGAACTTCTCTTCTGCCTTAACTACTCTCTGGCCTGTGTCCACCTGTGGTAGCCCTGCCATCCGTTTCCTCCCCCAGGCACATCCCTTCTTACAGAGGGAAGGTGGGAAGAGAGGGGGGAGTGAGAAAAGAGGGAGGAAGAGAGAAAGGATGAGTGAGAACACACATGTACTCAAGAGTTGGTGGCCTGAGCTGACTGCTCGTTTCCTGCCTTTTGTCCTGCAGGACACCTGGTTTTTAATGGTATCATCCTGTTTTTACTTGAGGTGGAGTCGGGCTCTGTTCCTTGCAAGCAGCCATTCCCAGTCATGATACCAGTTGTTGACGCCTATAACTCTGAAATCTCCCTGAGGTCCTAGAACAGTATTGGGCATGTCTCATTGTATCTTCTATTAAAAAAAAATTATCTACCCTAAGAAAACAGGGATTGTCTGTTTTGTCCATTATTTCCAGCACTTAGAAAATGCCTGGTACCTGGAGGGCCCTCAATAAATAATGTGTGGCATAAATAAATGAATAAAAGACACATATGAGCTAATGAATCAATGGGAGAATGTCCTCTGCCTGGAAAAGATGGAACGACAGATGTCATAGTCAATGGTATAAAAGAAGGGGCTGGCTTGGAACACACATGGTCCTCTGAGCAACTCTCTCAACATCAAAGGTTACGGCAGCTCTTGAACATGAAATGAGATATTCTAAGACTAAAGAAAAGGAAGCACTTCTTCAAATATTGAGGGGGCAACACAAAGCTGATCCCAAGAGGCTGTACAGTGAAGTACACCAGTAGGCTGACAAAGGCTGTAATATGCACCTGTGGTGGACGTTTGTGAGGGGCAGCTTATCCTCTGCTCTTCAACCAGATGCCCCGTGGATCCTGGACTAAGGGCTCGGGGCCCGGCCTGACCCAGACAACGTCTTCAGATGTTGTAGCCACATGGGTGGGGGCAGCTCAGCCCTCCTGGGCTGGGGCTCTCTGCGGAAGGAGACGGGGACTTCTGGCTCTGTGCTGACTCTTCTGAAGCCTCTTGGCTTATCCCAAAGGGTCACCCTAGTGCTGCTGTCACTGGCGGCAGCCCCACCTGAACAGCACTGGCCCATCCGATGGACAGATGAACCAGGAAAGAGCTTCCTGCCCTGCAAAAATGCCCGAACCCTCCTTTGAGGATCAATGAGTAAAACCAGCAACCCCCTTGGGGGCATGGGGCTGATGTGGTCTAACAGCTGTGCTGACCTGGGGTCTGGGGTTCCGCTTACTAACGTCACCCACGTTCTTGGAGAAGTTGGTCTGGGAAGATTCACCTCAGAGGCAGCCATGTCCATGCATTTGGCCAAGTATTTCATATCTGAGTGGGCAGGGGTGGCCCCGTGACTCACAATGATGAGGTCTGTGCTGCCAGCACCAGGCACTCTAGGAATGAGAGGCAAGACCCTGAGACCCCGAACCCAGGGTGCTGTCTGCTCTGACCAGGCAATGAACAGAGGCCTGAGGATAAGTCTATCAAGCTTTTCTAAAGTGTTCCATGATGTTTTAACAGGGATCTTGAGGGGGAATAAATCTCAAGATAAAATAAACTTGAGCCACACCACAATGGTAAATTGGCTGCTTTACTGCAGGACTTCTCAGAGTCTTACCATGTTAATGTGTCTTTGATGAATGTCTAAGAGGAGACTACTGCATATGGCATTTCTTGAACGCTTTCCCCTAGACTCCCTGTTTTGAAAGAGTAGTGTTCCCTAGAAACCCCTCTGGAAAACACTGAAATCCACCCCCATGTGGGGGATGGGGTGCCCTTTGTATTTGTGCATCCCCTTGATGGATGAGAAGGCCATTTCCTATGCTGTGTTCCAGTCAGATGCTGCCTCCTATCTCTAACCCTGCTACTGAGCCAGAGTGTGGGGTTCTGGGTTTCCATCGCCCCCTAGTGGACAGACAAAGCTGCATGATTAACTCTCCTGCCTCCCACCCCTCAGTTACTCTATATGCTTCATCCTTACTGAGTAATCTCAGGTTCTGAAAAAGCCCTGTTCACCTACTTGAAGCTCCATTCAATCTCATCTCCTGCCCCATTCATTCAACCTGACTCCTATGTGAGCTTCAGGATTTAGCTTAGGAGTCATGTACTCCCAACGAGCTTCTCTCCCCACCCCGGGTCAAAGACCCTGCTGGTAGCAAACATGGGGCAGCCACACAGACCTCCATCAAAGATCACTGCAACCCTTGTGAAAAGAAACACTTTGCTTATTTGTCTTTTCCTTTGGGGGAAGCTCTCTGAAGGCAGGCACAATGCTTTATTCAGTTTTTTATTTTTCATCTTTGGTGTCATGCCTAATATATATAGTGCTTAATCAGTGGTCAGTGACTCACTGAATATGTCAGTGAATAAATTACAGCCATTTCCCTGTTTGTGAGCCCATGCTGGGGTGAAAGAAATGATGTGTATGCCACCCCTCTCACACACACACACACACACACACACACACACACACACACACACACACATCTGTGTCTGATATTCATGGTCCCATGGAGAGAGAGAGATTACAAGTGGACTTCTCTATGCACAACTGATATGCTTCTGAACTATATGTTCACATAGAGTGAACAGATGGGCCCTAATTTATATTTCGATGGTATGATGGTGCTAAAGGATATACATTCATTAGAAACAGTACTTGGAAGGGAG